ACATAAAATAGACTGTATGAGAGTGGGAGTGAAATAAATAAATTTTGAAAAAAAAAAAAAAAAAGGGAGAGAGAGACTGTGAGGGGGTTTCATGGGAAGTTTATGAATATTTTGCATGTGGGAGAGACATAAATCATTTAGGCCAGTGTGCTGGCTGCTAGGTATTTAACATCTGTGTTTTCAAATTGTGTGTAATGTGTAATTTTGCCATCATAATGAATGTATCTGACAGAATTTATACCTTCCAAAATCAATAAAACAAACTTGTATTTTTGCTGAAATGTAGTGTAAGTACTCATACAGTGCTGATTTCAAGCTACCAACATAAAGTCACTGGTATCAGACAAAGGATGAGATTGAGATGAGCTGTAGGACACAACTATACAGTATTTCTCCACACAGATGTAGTAGACATAAACAACTACAAGAGCATCAATAAAGAAACATGTAGTAAAACAATTAGGGAGTAATGTGTTTTGAGTACTTAATACTTTAGCTCTTAATATAACTTATTTCAATTAAATTTATGGGATTTAATTGTAACAGTAACTGTTAAACCATTGGATTGTATAATCCCTAAAAATTAACTATTAAGTCTGAAAGCAGGTAAGAGTCAATTTCAATGCATGTTTGAACTCCAGTCAACAACTGTGTACGTGAATCATCTTAGAAACAGGCCTGCTAGTCCCAGTCAAATCTTCAGATGATCACAGCCCCAGCTAACATCTATCTTCACTGCAAATTCATGACAGACCCTACCAAGCCACCTCTCAATTCCTGACCCATAGACTGGCTCAATTCCTGACCCAAGAGCTGAGGTAATTTGTTTCTCAGCAACAGAGAATGAAAGAGCAGCTGTTGTACCCATAGGCAATACTGCCTCATGGAAACAGAATACAAAAGGGAAAGGGAAAGCTCTAGATAAATCAGAAAGACTTTACAGAAGTACCCTTAGTTATTCCATAAGCACAACTAGAGCCATTTGGGGGAAATTCCAAAAGAATTTGGAGCTTTTTCTCAGGATTTTGTAATCTCACTTATCCAGGGAATTAAGGAAGGCTGTGAGAGGTTAAATAGCATATCTAAAATCAGCCAGCCAGTAATCCAGAGTAAAGCCATGGTTTAAACCCGAGTTTTAAATTTCTGCTTTTCCAGGGAAACCTTTATAAGATATTTAATTGTTATAATAGGTCACTGCGTATTAATAATCTATACCCACAACAATGTGATGAAAGAAAAGAGATTGTTAGTCTTATCTATTTTCTAAATTTAAAAAATTAAGAGCTGTGTTGGGGGTGACCAGGTGTTGCTGTGATGACACAACTATGGGTGGGACTAGATAAGGGCAATAATAAACTGGGCCTCGAATCCAAGGGTGATAATTAACTGGGCCTCAATCCAGGAGATACCAGTGGGACAAACTGGGCCTCACATCAGGGTGCCCAACGATGAGTCACCCCTTTGGAACCTGAACCTAGAATCTATATAAGAGACCCTTTTCCCCTATAGTACTGACAGTAGCTATGGATGCCACCCTGGGGCTCCTTCTCAGCTGCTGCCTGGGAGCAATAAACTTTACTTGCTCAGCCTTTCTGCCTCCAGTCTTTCTTCCTTGCAGCCGGTCACAGAAATCGGGACAAAACAAGCTGTATTACTAACAACTGAACCGCAGCTAGGAAACCTTCAAGCCTCTCTTACAGTTTTTGAAAAGAATGCAAGATATCAAATTGAGTATAAATTATTATCCTATGTAATTAATTCTTAAATTTATAGTATAGGATATAAAAACTATAAAATTTCTGGCCCTCCCTGGTGGCGCAGCGGGTTAGAGCACAGTACTGAGAATCTGAAGCCACTTCCGCATGAGTTCGATTCCCGCCTGCAGCCTGCCCCGGAGGAGACCACATGGCGAGCCAGACCTCTCCTGACCCGCCCGCTGCTCCCCTCAGCAGTGTACTTCGTGGATCTGCCTGTTCTGCTCCCCACTCTGTCTCTGGTGAAGCCTCTCGCCACCCCTGAGCCTCTGGCCTGTACCCCAGTTCTGTATGCACAAATAAATAAATAAATCTTTAAAAAAAAAAAAAAACTATAAAATTTCAGAATTCAGTGGCCTTATATTTCACTAGTCTTTTTAATTTATAGTTAGAGGCAAGGAAGCATCTAACAAAACTAAGCTACTCTGGGTAATAAATCTAGATAATATTTTTAAGATTTATTAAAATTCTTATTTTTTTTCAAAATTGAGTTTCTTTTGAGCCTTATCCAATTTGACCCAGGACTTATGTGTTAATTTGCATGATTGCCTTATACAGTGTTAATATATTTCCAAGCTCTTTAAATTATTCACTTTAACAGTTTTTCACAAACACTTCAAATGAATAGTAACACAGTTTTGTTTTCCAGATGTCATTTCATGTGTCTGAATATTTCCATCAGACTTTTATGATTACATCAATTCAAAATTGCAAAGAACAAACACCAAATTTAACTTGGAACAATTTTAACATATTTGCTTTTCCTCTTAAACTTACACTATTTATATATATATAGTACAGTAAGTGCAGTGAATTTGAAAGACTGGAATGCTCGCTGGAACTAAGACTGAGAAATATGAACCAAACCCCCACCCTGTGAGGTAGACAAAAAAATATGATTTGAGAAATAGGATATATTTAAAGTCCTATCAAAATTACCAGAATTTGGCTGCAAGCTGACTAGGGTTGAGCAAAAGAAGCTACAGTTAAACAATTGTACTGTACTTTGAGGAAAATGTGTCAACAGAACTGGGATGGCCTTCAGTCTCCTCACAAGAGTCTGGAAAAAGGGAAGCAATGATTCAGAGTATCAGGCGTGTACTCAAGGCAGTTTCTAGCTTCTGTCCTCCAGACAGAAGCTCGAGAATGTTCCCATTCCAGAAGTAAAGTAGTCCCATGCCTTTGGATTACCAGTCCTCAAATACAAAGGAATCCTTAATGGAGGGAATTGTGAAAAGGAGACATCACAAGATTGACTCACATAGGGACTTGGGCAGAAGGGATTAGCATAGCCATTGACCTAACTATGAAAATCAAGATCCTCAGGCTCCAATGCCTGGATGACAAAGTGGAAGATCCAAGCAGGTAGCAGATTGCTGGGGACTGTGTCTAGAGCTCAGACCCAAAAGGTGAAAAAGATATGAAGATTGAGCTCATTGTGGGATCTCCTGTCTCTTTCAGATTCTATTCAAAATCAACAAACACAGGCTCAACAGGAAGTGAGTCCCTCCCAAAGAGAAGCTGTCTATATGAAAGCACCAGCAGGGGACAGCAGTCCTCTGCCCACCTGTGCCTACGCAGGTGCTTCTTTCCACCCACTCTTTCCCTCTGCAGGGCAGCAGCCTCCTGCCTGCCCATGACCTGTATCATGCTGGGACTTCTCTGTACTGACCTCTCTCAGTGGAAGCCGCTCTCCTAAGGCCGCCTGTCTGCAACCATGCAGGTCTCTTACCCAGCAAACCTGTCCCTTCCGGGGCATCTCTCCCTGCCTGTTTGTGCCTATGCAAGTGTCCTTTATTTCTGTCATTTTCCCCAATAAACCTGCTCTTTAAATATAACTGAGTCTGTCTCGTGGAGAAACCCACCTTGAGCTACTGAAAGGGGAGCTCTGGTGAAACCTTTCCCAGAGTGAACCCAAGGATCCCAAACTCCAAAACAACATCACTTTGGACCCCTTTATGACTTTAGGAATTATTGAGGAACCCAAAGAATTGTTCTCTATTTAAGTTATACTACTGGTACTATTTTACATATAAAGCTGAGAACAATTTTAAAATACAATATACATAACCATACATTCCATCAACTGTCAGAAGGAAGTTATAATCACATCATATAAATTCTGTAAATTCCACTGAAAAACTCATTATTGCGGGCCCTCCCTGGTGGTGCAATCAGTTAAGACCAGCACTGCAAGTGTGCCAAAGCTGCTTCAGTGTGAGTTCTATCCCCAGCCCAGGAGGTGATCCACATGGCACAGCAGACCTCTCCTGACTTACCAGCTGCTCCCCTCAGCAGTGTGCTTTATGGATCTGCCTGGTCTGCTCCCCACTCTGTCTAAATGAATCATCTCACCACTGCTGCACTTCAGGTCTGTAATCTATTTCTGTATGCATCAATAAATAAATCTTAAAAAAAAAACTCATAATTGAGAGTGAAAAGGCAAATAAATTTTTTCCTCCTCCCCTCTTTTTCCATTCCACCTCCTCCTTCTCTCCCTTTTCTCCTTCATGCTATTACTATAAAATTGATGTCAGAGACTCCTGAAATGTTCTCAAGGATGAGGAGCAAAGCCCTCAGAACCTCCCCTGGATAATCACGTTTTGCTACTGTCTAAGAGCATGTTGATATTCTATGTGAAATTCCTTACGGGAGAGCAAGGAGATTATCTTTTCAACAGTCTACTCATCAGTCATTTTTCTCACCAGCATTCTCATTTGTTTGCTAGAATGGGGTGAATTGACTTAGGGAGAGAGCTTTTCCCTGAGTTCTCAACTCTAGTAAAACCTCATCTTGGTTCTCCAAGTTGAATTATCAGAACATTGCATTGTAGGCATTGAATTCAATCTTGTTCTCAAAGCTTATTGGTCAGAATTCTAGGGTAAACATGATATTTGTTAGGGAACCATCGGGATGCTGAAGGAATTGATGAGTAGGATACTGAGAAGATAAATTCCTTGCTCTCCCATTGGGAATTTCAAGTAGGAAGTCAAACATAGACACTAAAACAGATATGACTAGGAAATAAGTACATATTTCTAAATTAAAAAAAAAAAGATTACAGCAAAAGAAAAGTTACATGTAGTTTTGAAATTGACATAATATACACAAATTTCTGTTTTAGAAAATAAGTGGCAAAGTATTTAATGGCTCTAAGAATGTAACTCAATATGCAGATCATATAGGGAATGTACATTTCAAAAAATTAAACTGTTTGGTTGAGCAATTAATTGCTCAAATGGCAGCAGCTGATAGACCCAGAATAGAGAAGAGTTCAGAAGAGCCAGGATACACATGTAAGAGTTTATAAATAGCATCCATCTGTTATTAGTTATAACTCACAGATATAGCAAATCAACACATCTTCCTCATATCTGCTACTGTTTCACCTAAAATCTCTTTCTTGTAAAGTACCTTTGTGCATAGTGATTGAAAATAAAGAGCCAAAGAGATGCTCTTCAATGTTTAGTGTGTAACATTTCTATATGGAGGTATGTTTTCTTTTACTTCTCCTTTTATAATAGCATTGGTGTTATCCTTATCTGAAGCTAAAGTGGGAGTACTGAAAAGTGAAATGAAGGATGCAATAGGTCACAGCCAAGCATTCCTTAACCTGCAGGATAATGATGCTGAGGACAAGAAGAGTTGTAGAAACGCGAACTCCACA